TGTGTGTGTGTGTGTGTGTGTGTGTGTGTGTGTGTGTGTGTGTGTGTTCCTGCAGTCGACTGATATTTGTGACCAGATCTTGAGAGTGGTGGCTCGGTCCGGCCGGCTGGAGGAGCTGGTGCTGGACAACACTGGACTTAAAAGGTCAGAGGTCAACTGATCGGTGCATAATACCACTTTTAATTATTCCTGTCAGCCTGATCGCACTCAAACACGAGTAAATAAACCGTTTGTGACCAGGACACAAAGTCCATTCAGGATATCAAATGTGTGTTTGTTTTCTTATCGATTGTGCGTTTATGAAGTTTGACAACATCACACACGTGATCACATGATTGTGTTGTTTTGTTTCTTTCTCTTCTTCAGTGATTTTGCTCAAAAACTGGGCAGCGCTCTGTCGTACAACCCGGCCTCCACGTTGCACACACTCAACCTGAGCAACAATTCACTGGAGGACAAAGGTTAACACGTGTGCCCACACACACACACACACACACACACGCACGCTGTTTTTATTGTGTAGGCTGGCTTTGGCATGCATATCTTCATGATATGACCCATTAGAATGGTTTATAATACCGGGTTGGGTCGATGTTATGAGGCGGCAGGCTGTGCATTTGTCAGGCTCCACCCACTGTACCCATAATGTCTAGTAGAGGGCGGAGCTTGTGTGAGTTTGAACTAAGGTTATGATATTGTAACCCAGGTGCTATAAGCAGAAAGGGAGCTCATGATTGGAGGGAAGTATTACCAACAGAGCCCAGTAGCAGGCTCCTTCTGTGCTTATAGAACTAGGGTTACAATAATGTAACCGCCGTTACTGTGAAGGCTCACAGAGGACTCATAGATGATGTCTTGCGCCCTCTGGTGGCCATGTTAGAGCCCGTCAGCTCTATAAAGTCTAATAACTTTAATGAGTGGGTGTGTGATACTTTCTGCAGGTGTTTCTGCTCTGAGTGCTCAACTTGCCAAACTTCCCATGGGCCTAAAGCACCTGAACCTCTCCAGGACCTCCATGTATCCTAAAGGTGAGCACACAGAAAGAAACACAGATATAGTAATACGTCATTATTGTCCTGAATTATTGTTTCGGGAGACTAAAAGTACGTTTGTCATGTCTTGCAGGTGTGAACAGCCTCTGTCAGGCCCTCGGCGCCAACCCGTCGGTCGCCGCCGCTCTCGCACACCTCGACCTGTCGGGAAACTCGCTCAGAGGCGACGACCTGCAGGTACGCCTCCACCTCCCCTCCCTCTGTCACACCCACCTTCAAGACAAACTCTCAACCCCAGTTTATTTAAGCTGTTTAGAAAACATCGGACAGAAGTAAAGTTCTTGAATAGTTTGCAAATCGGAGGGTTTGACAGCAGTAATGTGTTTCACTAGACTTCTAATGTGCTTTTTTCTGCACAGAACCTGCACAGCTTTCTGAGTCATCCAAACTGCCTGGAGACCTTGGACCTGTCCAACAGCGACTGCTCTCTGGAGCAGGTAAAAGCAGCTCACACATACAAGCAATCATACACACTTTCAACACATAATACCATGTTTATATTCCTCCAAAAGTGGTCTACACATTCTGAAAGAGGTTCATTTGAGCCTGGTTGTAATTTAGCTGAAGTTGAGTTTTGTGTTTCTTTTAGGTGTGTGCGTCTCTGCTCAGAGGATCTTTGAAGCATCTCTCCATCCTCAACATGTCCAAGTCCGTCTTCTCTCACAGGTCAGATATTAAACTCACTTCCTTCCTTCTATCAGTCGACTCATTAACATTATGCAACATTACAGATGTATTGCTGACTTCATTATCTCTGACTTCAGACCGGTAGATGGACTTGATTGGCAGATTATTTCTCCCAACGTTCAACAAATGCCACTTTTATATGTAGTTTAAATGTACATTTAAGAGTATGAGATGTTCTTCTTTAATTGTAAATGTATTACCGCACTCCACGGAGTCATTTCTAACACGTCTCTCCTCACATCCACACAGGAAGTGCAAAGAAATCTCTCCGTCCTTTAAGCTGTTCTTCAGCAGCGCTCAGGCTCTGCGCTCAGTCAGCCTGTCGGGGACCAGGCTGCCTCTGGAGGCTCTCAAGTAAGAAAATACTGCTGAAAAAATGTAAATTACTAGCTAAATATTTATAGCATTCAGTTAAACTGTTTCACTGAGAGAGAAGGCTTCTTTAAGAAGTTGCCATTTTGCATCATTGTTTAAGTCACACAAGGAAAAGTCAGTTTAAAAAGCAAGAAAACACTGACTTACTTCTCTACCAATGAGAAGAGAAATGATAGAAATGCAGCTGCCATCTGCAGCGTTCTCCCTCAGTACTGGACCAGTACTGGACTCGGGTCCAAGTTCAAAGATACCAAAGTTGCCCTTAAAGCAATGTCATTGCTCTCTGCAAGCTGTTGTCAATCCGTCCGATGAGTCACTGGTCTTTCTGTCTGCAGAGCCTTGTTGTTGGGACTCGGCTGCAACCCAAGCCTCAGTGACGTGTCACTGGATCTCAGCTGCTGCGAGGTAAAAACTGACATGAACCTCGGCACTCTGTTTGAGTTCAGCATGTAGTAAATGTGCAAAAAACACCACTGACAAGTTTATTATTGAGATCTGGCTCTCTTCTGCTCTCAGCTGCGTTCAGGAGGCTCCCAGATCCTGGAGGGTTGTGTAGCTGAGATTCCCAACATCTCTAGTCTGGACATTTCTGACAACAGTGAGGAACATTTTTTTAGATTCGGAACATTAACGATGGCCGCTGTATTGACTTTGATGGTGGCCTGCTCTGTTTCCCTCAGGTCTGGACATGGATCTGAACACCCTGCTGGTCTGGCTGGCCAAGAACCGCTCCATCAGACACCTGTCACTGGGCAAAAACTTCAACAACATCAAGTCCAAGTGGGTGACACACACAGCATTCCAGCACCTCCTAAAACACTACATTCCTGGATTGTTTTTATTGAATTAATTGAATTACTCACTGCATTGTTTTTGCCACTTTTCCCCAGAAATGTGTCTCAGATTCTGGACAACCTGGTTCACATGCTTCAAGAGGAGGATTCAGTGAGTTCTTTGTGTCTTCCTTCTGTTCCCTTTGCTACCCGTCACTTAAGCCTTAATTTCATACTCAAGCTTTTATTAAACACTTCAGATAAAATCATCCAATAAACAGCCTGCCTGTCGTTTCCCGTGCAGCCGCTGACCTCGCTGTCCCTGGCTGATTCCAAGCTGAAGACCGACCTGTCCATCGTCCTCAACGCCCTGGGCAGCAACACCTCCCTGACCAAACTGGACATCAGTGGAAACTCCATGGGAGACATGGGGGCCAAGATGCTGGCCAAAGCCCTGCAGATCAACACCAAACTCAGGTCAGCAATGAAACAGAATCGTCCTCCGAACAAACGTTATGTTTGGGAGAAAAAAAGCTTTTTAATCCAAATGTTTGTGTCTGCAGGACCATCATGTGGGACAGAAACAACATCAGCCCTCAGGGTCTACAGGACGTCGCTGCTGCTTTGGAGAAGTAAGTATGAAGCAACCTGTCGAGATCACATGACGTGTTTGCATGCTGTACGCCCCGTCCTGACTCTGTTCTAGTATTATGGAGTAAGTCATGCTCATGTACTATTTTCTCTCCCCGATCAGGAACCACACCATTCGTTTCATGCCTATGCCCATCATGGATGCTGCTCAGGCACTGAAGGCGAGCCCAGAGAAGACAGAGGAGGCCTTGCTAAAGGTCGCTGCCCTGTTCTTTGTAAAGAGCACTCTGTAGCCTCCACTGTCTGTATTCAGACTCTTTAAATCGTATCTGATGTCACATGTTTGCGAGTTACATTTTAGTTTGTCGTGTTGTTGTGATGTAGATGGAGCAGTACCTGCTGAGGAACCACGAGACGCGCAAATACCTCCAGGAGCAGGCGTACAGGCTGCAGCAGGGAATAGTCACCACCACCACGCAGCAGGCAGGCGCACACACACACACACACACTAGATCAGCAGACCTTTGCTTTAACATGCTACTGTCCGTTGTCTCACCTCTAACCTCTCTGTGGCGCAGATGATGGACATGATTTGTGTAAAGGTGCAGGACCACCTGAACTCTCTGAGGTTCACAGAGACCACCACGGTCCAGGAGGACGTGAAGGTGGCTGAGAACTTCATGAAAGACGCCAAGAACTCCAAGAAAGTAAGACCACGTGACGGTAGATCGGTCTGTCTCGAGACACGAACATCACACCTTTGGACAAGATATTTGTATAAAAAAAATGTTCTTCCTTGACTCACGGTGCAGACTATCAGCTGCGTATCAGGGACACTTCTGGGCCTGACTGCCAAATGAGTCAAGCAAAAATCACACCTTAGTGCTTCATGACTTGTTTTGATTATATTTCAACACTAAGAACAAACTCCTATATCACCTGTAGTGACAACAATTTCACTTTTATGTAATTTAGAGCAATAAACATGCTAATTAAAGTTACTGTGAGGAACTTTTAACTGGTTATGAAACAGTCTCAACGTAATACTGATACCTTTTATAAGGTCTACATACGTGAACGAGACCATCAGTGTGAAGATAGGGCTCGTCATCAGGTCCGGTTTCCTGCTAAATCAGATGAAACAATTTACGGCACCCAGCTTCACCAGAAACTCCTTCAGCTCAGACTCCAGCAGAGACCGGTCCACCGTGGACAGACCCAGATCCTCCAGCAGAGACTGGTCCACCGTGGACAGACCCAGACCGGTCCACCGTGGACAGACCCAGATCCTCTAGCAGAGACCGGTTCACCGTGGACAGACCCGGATCCTCTAGCAGAGACCGGTTCACCGTAGACCTGCAGTCGGAGCTCCGGAGGGAGGGGGAGAGCTCAGCTCCCGGCAGCAGCAGCGTCTCCTCCTACCACTACCACTTAGTCCACAGGGACCGCCAGAATCAACACAACATGAAAGTTCCTCATCGTAGCTTTAAGGCAAAACTTAAACAATATATCTGCTTTTGCAGTTTTGGCTCAACAAGATAGCCTCGACTGGTAAACAGTTAAAGATCTCTCGCTGTGTCCCTCTTTTCCCTCATCCCTCCAGTTGCTCCCCAACCTTCACTACCTGAAGAGTGGAGGGTCAGGCGCGTGTGTTGGAGCCATTCAGGACAAACTGGAGTCGATGGCTGGAGAGGTTGCCCGGGTGATGGACGAACAGCTGCAGGTACTGAGCTGCTGTTGACACAGAAGAAGTCTTCTAAAGTTCAATGTGAAGTTTACTCTTTGCTAACTCCTCCCCAGACAATGCTGGTGTCCATGGTGGATGCTGCTGAGGGCCTGTGTCCTCATGTGATGAAGAGGAGCAGCCTTCGCCAGGAGCTTCTGAAGGCCGGAGCAACGAGGATGACCGTCCCTCGCAGCTTCATCACCACCACGCTGCTGGAGCAGTCCGGGGTCGACATCATCAACAAGATCAGGTGTGTGTGTGTGTGTGTGTGTGTGTGTGTGTGAGATTTTACATGGTTAGCTTTAGATGCACAGAAAGTCTAGTCAGTGGGTCTTCGGACTTAACTCTGAACACTTTAGAAGGAGTGAACGAGACTCACACAGCCGACAGGTAGCCCATCATTTGGACAGTTGTGTAACGCATCGTTGGTCAGATGGAGACTTTGGAGCCTGAACGTGATTTTCTGTTTTGTTTTTTGAACAGTGAAGTGAAGCTGAGCATGGCATCGTTTCTGTCCGATCGCATCGTGGATGAGATCCTGGAGTCTCTGTCCAGATCACAACATACTCTGGTTAGTGTCCTCTCCACCTGTCTGTCTGTCTGTCTTGTTTCTCTGTCCATTCACCCTTCAC